AAAGGTAACCCTTCAAACCACAGGTAGCCATCTGTCATGATGATGATATCTCTGTGCTGTGCTGAGGTTCACACCATTGGACCTTGTGGGAGATAGTGAGATTGGACTTTAAATCCAGTCTTACTTTAACGAAATTCAAAAAGAATCATTAATGATTTGAAAGAATCATTAACTTTTTTTTGTTATCTGCTCAACTGGATCTAAAAACAAATAGTGACTGTTAGTCCAAAGTTTCACTGTATTGATCAATTTTAGACTCATACAGAGAACATGAGCCCTGTGACCTCAACATGATCTCATGACAGGACGCCATGGCAAGTGCTGCAAAATAATCCCACTGATGAATCCCTGAGACCTGAGAAAGCCACTCTTTCTCATTTATTTGCATTTGAAGAGTTTTCAAAGTAGAATTTTTACATGCAACCGACTGATACAGTGTATAAATAATAGCCTGGAAGCAGACAGAAGGACAGTGGACTGAAGACTCTCAGGTAAAGGGCAGGAACCTGCTTCAGAGGCAGCAGATATGAGGGTGGACTGTCACTGACTCCTGGGTCCAGTCCTCCATTACCTTCTGATTAACCTGTGGGAGTGGATTTCTTGCTGTCAGGAGTTCGGGGCCGATTTAGAGAATTTTCATGTCTACCACATCAAGGATCCATCAAAGCTCTGCCTCGTCCTTGGTCCAGCACTCTCAGTGCAAGGGGACTTGCGAGGCCTACAGCTTCACATGCTCCAGCAACATGCTCATCCCCGGGGCCCATAAATAGGGACCTACTAATCCTAGAATTGCTTAAAGAAACAATGACATTTTCATCAGTCCCCATGGGCTTCTGTCAGCTAAAAGGGAAACCAGTGGAATCCTAATGCCTGACGTAGACCCCACGTAGAAGGCAACAGAGTTTCATGTAGAAGGTATGAAAATCAGGAGAAAAAACATTTTCCACGCTTCCTGTTAATCCTTGGGTGTATCAATAGACTGAGCACTTGTGTATGACACTAGGAGCTGTTGATACTGACCCTAAATATGATGTGGCCACAGACTCTTGTGTGTATATTGGGGAGAATGATCAACAATTGGGCATGAGTAGTATTCTGGCTGAAGGAAAAAGCTGATCCAATAGGAAAAATTGGAAGGGGATACCAGTTCTCTGACAGAGAGAAAGATATGTACACGAAGAAAGAGCACTAATTTTTTAATTTAAGGATATATTTTCTTTAAAACTTTGTTTTTCTTATTTATTTACTTATTTTTTTGGTGGTGCTCAGGATCAATCACAGGGCCTCACACATGTTAGACAAGTGCTCTACCCCTGATTCAAAAGCCCAGCCACAAGAGCTACCTTTCTAAAAAGGAGACACTTTTTCATGACTTTTGTTTTATTCCTAGTATTGCCAGATAATTCTAAAAGTTATAGCAATCACAGTTATATCCTACATTTTCTTAATCCATCCACCTGCTGATGTGTTCCTGGGCTAGTGTCAAAATGTGGCTCTTGTGAGTTACACTGTTATAAACCTTGATGTGGCTGTGTCCCTACAGTGTTCTGACTTTAGAGAAGGATAAATATCAAGGAATGGAATAGCTGGGTCACCTTGGGTTCCATTCGTCTTTTGAGAAATCTTCTCACACTTTCCAGAGTGGCTGGGCTAATTTCCAGTTCCACCCACAGTGGATGAGGCCCCTTCCCCCTCCTCCCCTCAGCATTCGTTATTTGTGTTCTTGATGCTCATCACTCTGACTAGGGTGAGTAGATGTCCCAGTGTAGTTTTCATTTGCATTTCTGTGACACCTAGGGATGTGGAACTTCTTTTATATATTTGTTGGCCATTTGTATTTCTTCTTTCTTCTGAGAATTGACTGTTTAGTTCTTTTTTTTTTTTTTTTTTTTTGGTAAAATGGTTAAATTTATTGGAAAGAGTCCCTGTGTGTAGAGTGTGGTGACACTGACATATAGTTCATTTGAATCACCTGCTGGCCTACATTTGTCACCAGGTATGATCTGAGTTATGCTTTCTGCTGGATCCCACAGTGTCACCAGATTCCAAGCTCAGTACAGAACTTGTATCCATGCCCTGTCCTGGACCACTCTTATGTCTGAGGGACAGCAGAGTCCATAGTCCACTGGACTAGAGCAATCTCTGAGTGACCCTGAGTCCAGCTCTGTGCTGCCGTATGCTTGTTCTCAGTGATAACCAAGTTCATGCTGTACATGGAAAACCCTGGGTGACTCCTGCATCAGTGCTACACTGGCAACAGATATCCCCAGTGCCCGTGAGTGCCTGCTGTATACGGTCTGCATTTATCCCTGGTGGCACAGGAGGCTCTCACTGTACTGTTACAATCTGTTCTTCCTGTCTCATTCTTTAACTGGGGTGTTCCAAACATGTCACCCAGAGAGATTCCACAAGAAATTCATGAAGTAGATCCTGTACTTCATCTTCATATAAAAGTCAAAACTTCATGGGTCAAGACCTAGAGTCAGACCAGAAACTTATTAACTGCTAGAAGAAGACATAGGGTCAACTCTCCAACATAGAGTTGCAGACACTGACTTCCTCAATAAGACTCCTAAAATGTAGGAAATAAAACAATGAATTAACAAATAGAAAGACACCAAATTAAAAGAGTTTTGCACAGCAATGAAAGAGGTATGCAAAGAAAGATGCTAAATGATGGGAGATGATCTTTGCTGGCTACTCTTACAGAATGTAAAATTAAAAGAAACTCAAAAAAAATTTTAAAAACCCATTAACACCAAAACTACTTCAATGTCTAAATATGCAAATAGATTTAACATACATTTCCCACAAGAAGAAATACAGATGGCCAACAAATATATAAAACAATGTTCAATATTCTTAGCAATCAGTGAAATGCAAATTAAAACTACAGTAAGATTTCATCTCTAGTTAGAGTGTCAAGTATCAAGGATATTAACAAATTTTGGTGAGGGCATGGAGGAAAGAGCACCCATGTGCTGTTGGTGGAAAGAGAACTTAGCACAGCCACTATGGAGATAGGGAGGGAGGTTCTTCCAAAGCTTAGGAATGGAGCCACCACGTGACCCAAGTCCAACACCCCTGGGCATTTGTTCAAAGGAATTCAAGTCAGCATCCTGTATAGCACCACATGCACACCCCTGTTTATGCCAGTGAGAGTCACCTAACCAAGTTAAGGAATCAACCTTCCACCGATGAATGGATTTAAAAATGGGGTATGTATATGTACCAGGGGCTTTATTCAGCCATAAAGAAGAATGAAATTATGTCATTGGTAGAAAAATCATAGCAAAGGTATGTAGCAACAAAACATTGTACTAATATGAAAATAGATGCATAGATCAACTGAGTAGAATAGAAGACAAAGAGACAAACCCATACATAGAGTCATGTGATTCTTAACAAAGACACCAAGAGCAAATCTTGGAGATAACGCTGCCAATTTAATAAATGGTGACTGGAAAACTGATTATCTACATGTAGAAGAAGGAAGCTTGAGTACCCCGAGTACCCTCCAAAGTGGTTGGAGCTGAAAGGGACGGGGTGGGGGGGGGGGGGGGGGGAGGGTCACCCGAGTAGTCTCTGTTCGGGGTCAGCGAGCAGAGGGGACACCCACCGTGACTCCCTTTTCTGTTTGGTTTGGAATTGTTGGAATTTGGTCAGTATAGAAATTCTGTCCTGGCCATGTCTGTGGGAAAGTGTGTGAATGAGACGGACAAAGGGATCCAACCCGAGGGTCGAAGCGAATGCAGAGCCCTGATCTGCGGTTCCGTGGCCCCTCATACAGTCTATGGCAGAATTTCACCAACCAACGTCCAGGTGAAAGCTCCAGGTCGGGGGTTGATACCGACCTGCAAGGCCAAGAGGGCCCTAAGTCCCCGCGAGGGGAGCGGCCAGAGATGGACGAAGCGAGTCTTGTCCTAAGTGTGTTTTGTTCTAAGTGTGTGACACCGATGCAGGGTGGACCATGGGAGGCACACTAAGGAAACTGAGCCTTCTGAAATATGTGTTAGAGACCTTTAGGAAGGTTTTCCTGGTGACTGTGGGTGAGACTCACTCCTCAAAGGTGGCATACTCTGTGAATTAGAGTGGCTCACCCAAGATGTGGCCTGGTCACCAGAAGGATCTTTAGATGAGTCATTGCTGAGGTCCTTTGATTGTTGTTGGAACTTTCTCTGAACCAATTCTCTTACATTGATTGCTGGCAAGAGATAGTACAGAAACAGTCCCCTTTGTTGAGAGCCTGTCTAGATGGACAGTCCAAACTGATGTTAGCCAGGAGCATAGTGGTCTCTAAGACCCAGCGGAAAGCAGCTAAACAGAAAACCTGACTAGGAAAGACAGGAAGGGAACAGTATTCCCCGTGAGCCAGAAGAGGACCCAGGACCTATGTGCCACTCTACCCAACTTTGCCAAGACCACTGGGACAGCAGACTGTCCCCTAGCCCCCTCGTCCTCAGAGGCAACAAATGATGGCCCCCAATCCTGGCCATTCCTTCCTCTGTGATGTCCTCAGAGCCAAAGGCTTCATAGGACCAAAGACTCTTCACCTCCCAAGAATAAGGTGGGAGATTTGTCCCTAGACCAGAGCCACAATTCAGATGAGAACTCTCCAGATGCCCCTGCAAGGGACTAAAGGACCTGCCCATGTTGTCCAGAAGGGAAACGCCTGAGGGAGACAAGGCCGTTTTGTGTGCCAGCCTTTCTCCACCCCAGAGCTCATAAGCTGGAAAAATCATGCTCCCTCCTACACGGAGAAACCCTGGGCCAGGACTGATCTGGTGCAGCCCATTCTCCAGACCAGGGATGGGGCCCAACCAAGAAGAAGGTCTAAAGATAAAGAAATGTCAAGAAGCCCTCATAGGAAGTCTAAAAGAAAAGGGGGGGAAAAGATAATAAAACACACTGTGCCCAAGAGTTAGAAGGGATCGGAGCCAGCCCTGAGCCCTGGCCTAAGCCAAAGGCATCTGCAGACAAACAGAGCCCAGATAAGCCTCCTGCTGCTCCGGCATCTCCCTCTCGCACCCTCATAGCCCTGAACTGGGCCCCACATCTGCCTAAGGCCCCTCTCCCCTATGA